TTTATATATGTATATATATATATATATATATATATATATATATATATATATATATATATATATATATATATATATATATATATATAGTGTGTGTGTGTGTGTATATATATTCATATATTTATATATTTATAAATACGAATACTATGTATATCGCGGACATCGTATGTATATAAAAATCACACAGTCAAATTGAATTAGAGTACGTGGTACATAGGCATTTATAATATATACTTGTACTTCTCTAATATTGAGTGTTTAGCTATGTATTTATATACATGTTGTATTAAACCATATTCACACAATTTTTAGTATATAGTTTGAATGCTTCTTTATAGTCGGACTCTATGCAATCGCGAGTGTGTGAGCGGGAACGTCTACCATTGATACTTCGCTCGTCTGTATGTAAAAATTAAATTACAAATGCAGCATTTTATGATTATTGTCCTCAGCAACGGAGACACAGTTGATGCTTGGCAATAGTACTATCCTCTATAGAAATTTGTTTTATATCCTGTCTGTATGCATTCCTTACTTTTATAGTCCGTTAACATAACTATCCACCGTACCCTCTCAGATGGCAGTTGCTGAACCTGGTGCGTTAGCTATCGATATGTCGGGCAGCGGAACTCTGTCTGTGGGCGGAGTTGGTGGTGCAGTTGGAGGTGTGGGCGGAGGCGGTGGAGGCGCACCAGGGGGAGTAGGGGTTGGTGGGAAGGTAAATAACGCGTACCTGAAAACTCTGGCCAGGACCGGTCCATACTACAAGCGGAACAGGGCGCACATATGCTCGTTCTGGGTGAAGGGAAACTGTAATCGTGGCGAAGAGTGTCCGTACAGACACGAGATGCCCACCGACCCGAATAACCCACTGGCCAAACAGAATATCAAGGATCGTTATTATGGAGTCAATGATCCCGTTGCGGACAAGGTATGTTGTAGTAGGCGACAAAATCCACGTCCTAATTTTGATTTTTCTTTCGTCAGCAAACTGACAATGAGTGGCAGCTGGTGTATACGTACGGCACGGTTTAGCTGTGTTTCGTTGAACATGTGATGTACATTTGTGTTTATATACACTTGAATAACATGTGCAGATTATCATATACAGTGCTATAAATTGCAACAAGACCATCCCCCGTTCATCTATTCAATGTGCCACGCTTAACCAGTGATTTGATTGCTACACACTTTCGCAGATTATCGAACGGGCTGCCAGCCGACCCAGGTTAGAACCGCCCGCAGACAAGTCGGTGATGACACTGTACTTGGGAAATATAGACCCGGCCGTCACGGAACAGGACATCCGCGACGTGTTTTACCAGTAAGTGGCATATCTAATTTCAGTGTTTGATTTGCTTGGCCGAGTATTGAGATGTTCATAACTAGCCGTTCTCACTATTTTTCGTCAGTTTGACGATTGAGCCGTGGCTAATGTGCACAACACCACTAAGTATTGTATTTGGCTGTGCTATATCCTGCTTTCAATGATTGCTGTAAATGCACTGAAGATCACCTCATGCAAACAAGATTTATTATAGGAAGGGCATGCTTCTTTACAACTAATTCGTTGACATTCTTACACGTCTCCTGCTGATACGTTCACCGTCTTCCCTTTGAACAGGCACGGAACCATCACAAACATCACACTTGTGTCGAAACAAGGCTGTGCGTTTCTGGAGTACTCCGCTCGGTCGGAGGCTGAGAGGGCCGCGGAGAAGAGCTACAACAGCGTGTTGCTAAAAGGAAAGAAGATCAAGATCTTGTGGGGCAAGTAAGTTGATGTGGCACATCTCGTTTATTGCGAAGTGTAAACATTTTTGTTTGTTTGTGGTGTGGGTGCAAGCGGTGAGTGGCGGGGATTACATAACCAGCAGAGACGTCATGCCGTCACGTTTTCTGTTGCGAGAGTTATGCGTGACACATCTCATTGCTTAGTGAGACTACGATTCTGGTGGGGGTTTATTGTTTGTCGAGGTGACTACTTGTCTTTGTCTCCTAGGGACTACAACCAAAGTATATGTATCCGTCTGTGCCGAAAATAAGAGCCAATTTCCACTAGTTCTTGATTGGGTGCTGTAGGGTTTGGATTCGTGACTTACGCTGCATAATTTTCTTGTCTGATTCAGGAGCAAATCACAACAGTCACAAAACAACGCTTCAGCGAATATCAATCTGCAGCCTGTTCCTGGATTGCCACCGAGCGCAAAGACCGGTCCTGGCCCTGGCCCCCCAGGTGTAAGGCCACCCCAACAAAAAGGACTCCAAGGCATCCACTACCCATCACAAGTAAGTTTGTCAGGTTTTTTGTTGCTGCTTGAGGCTTGGCTTGTATTGTTGCCTGTTGTGCGTGCACGGACACGGCTGCAACAAATAAAATATGCACAGCGATGTTGTGGTGGTTTGTATACATATAGCTATTATGCGAGGGTTAAGCGTTTCCAGGTTTACTTCCTATCGATGTTTGTACGTGCTCACTCTCATATTTGCAAGATAATTTAAATAGTCCTACAATGCTGGAATTCCATGCTATAGAAATTATGCACCTGTTATTTCATTTGTATGGGCCAGCCAGTATATCTCAACGACTATTTGCCCAATTCCTTGCAGGATCCGACTCGTATGGGTACCTCCGGGAAGAGGTGAAAGCCTTGGCTTTTCTTGGAAAACTTATTCTGCTCCATCGCCGCTCGCGACTGACGCATAAAGGACGATCGCTTGCTAGATGACTATTGGACTACTAGTTGTGCTCATTTCTTCAGTTGCCGACATGTGGATGTTATGTATTGCTAGACGAACTGTAGATGTAGAGGCACTGGATTGAACGCTTTATTTTCCTACGTCGATGAGATACTGAAGTGGCCGAGATGCCCGGTTCTGCTATTGCTCGAGCGAGAATGTAACGACAATAGGGTCGGACAACAAATAAATAGGCATTTTGAAGCCGGAACGTATCTACCCGAATTCAGTGAAACCCTAAATCCTGCACACATCTCATTGTACTTTTGACTATAAATCATATAAACAAACACTATTTGGTTCACACACGCGCGTAATATCGGCGTACAAATTAGCATACTTTACTGTGTAGTAGACCATTCGATAAACAACAATGAGTGAAAGTAGTACAAACGTTCGTCGCCGAATCAGTGATGAGTTCAAAAGTCCGGCTTCGGTGCGTAGAGTTTGTTTATGTTCAAAGGATCTATGCAACAAAATCGATGCAACAACATCGATGCAACATCGATGCATAAAACTTGTAGATCATTACTTCAATCTACCCAAGCGATCCAGAGCGCCTGATAAACGTCGACGTTGGTTAAAAAGAGTTCTGCCCAAAGATAAAAATACTTTCAAAAGTCTATACAACTCAGACACACGATATTCCATCAATGCTAAGCACTTTTTATTTCAATCGTTGATCTGGAAGCAGAGTAGACTTTTCCCTGGACCTACGGCAGAACCATATGAAGAGCTACATCGGCACAATTTGAATCAACTATCGCGTAGACCTAACTTTCATCGCGCACGAGTACAGTGTGTATGTACACAAAGTGATGATGTATGTGGTGAAGATCTAATATATGTAGGACTGAGTTTACCGTTGAAAGCAGATGTCAGAGAGAAGTGGCTAACAATACTAGTGAGAGATACAACACAGAGACAAAAGATAAAGAAATTGCCTGTAGTTAAGGAGGGAGAGAAATGTAAAAGACAACGCTCGAAAGTAGCGCATCACCACTTCCGTACAGACCAGCTTAATACAACGGCAAATGGCCGTATACGTGTTAAGCCAGGTGAGCTACCAACGTTCTATCCAATCCTAGAGGATGTTTCAGATGAAGCCAAGAGACCAACTCCAGATGATAGACGCGATATTACAAGTATAAGAACGATAGTGGCATCGGGTACAACGAATCTGCCCGAGAAGAATGTTAAGAAGAATGTTAAGAATGTTCAAGTACGTAAGCATGTTGTAGACATAGTCACCCATATATTAAAAACTCATATAGAGTGTGCACAATACACATCACCCGTAACACCCGAGGCGATATCAATCAAATCACAGAGCTATATCAAACTGCTAGAAAACGACAATGCGCTGTGCAACACAGTAACAGGCGAACCGTCAATGGCGTGTGTGAAGAAGCTGTATGATCTACTCAATGCGGTGGCATCTTTCGACGTGATGCGCCAATACTCACCTCGCGTGCGTACATTATTGGTTGAAGTAAATTTCCCTGAGGAGAGTGAGGAAGGGGAAAGTGGGAAGATAATAGAATCGGTCATGAAAGAATACGCATAGCATAGAAATTTATTTAAACAGTCTCTATTTGAGCAGTTTGTTCTTTGGCTTGTGTACTATGTTTAATACGCTACATACTGTATATAAATATAGCAGACGCACGGACGCATTTTGGTGTTAGCAAAACTTCAGCGAAAAACAATTATGTAACGTGGACGTATGCGATTGCAACCATTATAAGAAAAGCAAGCCTATACCAAGCAACAAACAAAACGCAGCCAAAATGATGGAGGATTTGTGAGAACGACTTGGTCTACTGCCTGGATGTTCTTCATGGTTTTCAGATTGTACTGAGAAACCAATGGAGGACCCTTGCTATATTGCCCCAGCACTAAATGCTTTTTTATTTTCACAGTGTAACAAAGAAGTAATATCTAAACATTGCACCATTGCTGGTGCCAATACAAACATAGCGGTTGTCACTGCACCCTATCCAGTGTCGGAAACTGACAATCCATATGTGCCAATGAGCGTTTTGGTGCGAGAAAACGTTGCGACTGTTATCCCTGACGGATCGTCAAGAACTTGAAGTAAATAGAATGCATGTAACATGTCCAAGAAAGAAGATGGCGGGTCAGATCGTACTTGACTCAGAAACAACACGACAAGACAAACAACCTGCAAAATAAAGATTACATATAGAAAGGAACAACGAGGAATTGCATAACTACCATGCTTGGGACGGCGGAAGACTTACTACATCTGATATTGATTTACACAAGGAGGAATCCGAATGTATACGAAGTTTGACGAACCTAAAGCCGCGTATGTAACACCTATATATAACTGGTGGTTGTCAAAAAAGGAGCGTAGAACTAAAACTAATAAACGCAGTATTCCACAAGGGGCTACTACTTTCCTTTAGATAACAAAAAGACTATGCTCTCACAGTTGTAAGCCAGAGATATACATTAAATAAAAAATTATTCACAAACACCTATCGGTTTCTTTCGCTCTCCTCCCTATCTCTGAAGGTAACCACATCAAGTTTCAATCCTAGTTTAGGATTTGTGCCTCTCGCTTCTGTACGCTAGAAGTTTTCCAAGTGCCTCACTATCTTCATTGTAATCTAGTTTAGAGATCGGGATTATATTATTTATTTCAAAAAAGATAAGTTACAAGGTATGTACATACTGTATGGCTCTCATAGCCGTTGTAGTGGTTCGGGAAAGATCGATGGGAAGAAGTGGTCAGTAAATTCCCGTTTGAAGCTTGGGTCAAGTGAGTCGACGATGGAGGATATGCGCTGGGTCAATTCAGGCTGGTGCTGACAAAAAAATGGACACCATCGAGTGTGCCATTTATTCGCTTGCTGACCTACTAAGTAGCGTACCCACCTCTGTGGTACGGATCGGGTCTGTGCCGTGTAGTGCCGTGGAATAGGTTAGTGCAGAGTACAAAATACCAAGTAGGACCAGGTTATCCGTCATAATTCGGTCGAGGAGCGAAGTTGGGGATGAGCCAATGCCGCACCAGACCACGGATGCACTCGGTATGTGCTGGCTGGCCTGGATCGGAAGTATCATAGGCTGAACCAACAAGCGCGCGATGACTTGGTTTGTACCGAAATTTGGAAGTAGTACTTCAGCAGCGTAATTAGCCGGGGTACGCGGAACATCTGTTGATGTGTTAGAGACGGGTGAGGGTACGGTGGTTGTTCTACATGCTGGAGAAAGGATCCAAGGTGTTCGTGGAGGGTACAGATACCGTGGAAGTCATGGCGCTCCTGTAATTGCTGGAGGAGGTCAGGGCCAATGAGCGGCAGTTTCGGGCCTACCAGGATGCGTCGGATCAATTGTTGGATGCAGATAATGTGGCTGGTTTTAATGACAGAGACAGCCGTCAGTGCGGTAGTCGAGCAATGTAAACATAGCACAGAGCCGGATTGGTGTAGACTCGAAGCAGCGGTTGAAGCTGTCGTGTCTGGCTTTGTCTCGATTTGAGGTTGGCGGTTTACCCATGGCCAGTTGGTAGTAGTATTGGCGCCGGGCCGTTGCCGCGATCTCCTTGTTGGACCAGCGTTTTGTTGAGTTCTTTCAATGTCGTCACAGTGTTGGCGGAGGGTTACATGGTCGGGTGTACGCCAGCCTGTGATTTTGTGCACAGTTCTCAGGTGGGCATAGATACTGTACGGGAAACGCAGTGATGGTTTGTCGTGGGCCCTGGCGGGTTGCGTCAGAGGGGTGAGTGGATTTGTACTAGTCATTGAGTCGAGTTGTATTCCCAGGCAACCTCCGAGGTAGTCCGCGAATGAGGGAGCAGGCCACAAAGGTGGAGTAGGGTTGTTTGATGTTTGGGAAACCTAGGGTATTTAGTGCCCGTGATGATGGCTGCTGCTTGGATGAGTTCTGAGTCATAGCGCTCGAACAGGGGGTCCAGCGCATTCTTCCATATAGGCGGAGCCCAGGTAATATGCTGCCAGTCGGTTGCGGGGGTGTCGCCAGCTGAAGCCATGGAAGCCATAAGCGAGGAAAGAGGCGATACCCAGGGACAATGCAGCAACCAGGGATTCAATATGTCTGGCGAGGTTGATTCCTGGTATTCCGTGAGAGAGTGGGAATCCCAGATATTTGGAGCGTTTCGGCTTGTCATGTGTGGGCTCCATCTTCAGGGGGAGGTAACGTGTGTTCCATGGTGCGTCTGCGAGCGTCGACGTGATAAGCTCACCATTTATACGGAGGGTTGGCGCCGCGTGTCGCAAAGTCGGTAGATCGTATTCGGGGTTTGATGACACCCTGTTCGAGGCCAGATTTGCGTCCCCACGCATCAATGTCGTCTAAGAAGGGCTGGAGAGAAACCGGATGCGGGGCTTGGATCCGTGTATCGTCAACAAATAAATAAGAGTGAAGGAGCTTGGGCCGAAATTGTGCTAGCGTGACAGCTAAGGAATCCATGTAGACAATAAATAGCTGGGGGTCGATAATTGAGCCTTGTAATATGCCATTCGTTCTATGGAATAGAGCAGAGAGCGTGCCGCGGTATGTCACTCGGATAAGGACCCTCTCAAATAGAGCGCGGAGGCAGTTGATCCAGTTTCCTGGCAATACAGCGTGGCGCACGTGTACCCACAGGCGTGGGAGAGCAACCTTGTCGTATGCTTTGGTACTGTCCAGACACACGTCGTTCCACTCCTCTTCCGACTGTGTTTCAGATTCCATGGCGGCGAGTGCTTGGGTATTGTAGGATTTGGTCTATTAAAGCGATACTAATGCCTTGGAATAAATAAACGCGTAGGTAAGTTCTAAGTATCGTGTAAATATCAAAGTAAATAAACGAAATGAGACATTTGGTAAAGTTAGGTATGCCTCGTGAAAACAGCAATACTCTGAGGGATTGTGAGACTGAGTATATAATCCTCTCAGTACTGTTTCCGCCGAAGGGATTTTATTTAGTGTTTCGTTGTCGCTCTATTAGAAACTATGGTATGTTTCACTGGGGCGAATCCGAGAGACTCATAAAATCCTATCTTTAGAACAAATAAAGAAAAAATAAAAATACTCTTGATGTCCTTAGTTATTGTCTTATCCAATAACTTGCCACTATCAAGAATTACCGACTTAGCCTTCATCAGACTGGCACATCTGGTTCGCTGGTCGGAGGATCAACTAGGTAACGTCAATAGTCCCTAGAAACCTATATTCCGTTGAGCCATCTCGCTACCGAAGTTTTCAGATATAAATAAAGTTGGAAAGTAAATAAAGTTATATTAATAGAACTAGACTAACTCTTTATGTTTGGTATTTTACTGAGGCCTTTTAATGGTCTTGTCCAAATATCTGATATGTAAAATGGAAAAGGTATTAATTAAAATCATTAAAAACCATTTTAGGAAACTTAAGTTCCTCGTACTATTAAGAGTACATTTAGGAAACTTAAGTTCCTCGTACTATTAAAAGTATGTTTATAATTTACGTACTGCTTAAGAGTACGTTTATAACATAGAGTCTAATGTGGAGGCCCAGCATATTACAGTATGACAGGAGCATCGTGATTTGAAGCCAGCCTGGGTAGCATGGGTAGCAGAGCCGGGGTGGCTCGTAATCAGCGTAAGAAAGCACTTCTCAAAGATACGCGTCCAAATATCTGATATGTAAACTGGAAATGATATCAATTAATAAAACCATTAAATCCCATTTTAGGAAACTCAAGTTTCTCGTACTATTAAGATTACGTTAGGAAACTTACGTACTGCTTAAGAGCACGTTTATAACATAGAGTCTAATGTGGAGGCCCGGCTTATTACAGTATGACAGGAGCATCGTGATTTGAAGTCATCTTGGGTAGCATGGGTAGCAGAGCCTGGGTGGCTCGTAATCAGCTTAAGAAAGCACTTCTCAAAGATGTGTCTGACTATTTGCGTAAGCGTGATAGGGCGGAAGTCGGGATATCTGCATCGGCTTTCTATGGGTGCGCTGTCAGGAGGCTGCAGTTCAGGGCTACAGGGAAGGTACTCATCTTCAGTAGCTCAGTGAATGCTTCGGCAAGGAGTCTAATCAGTGGGCTATTGGCGTCGGGGCATCCTAGTGTCCTACGTTTGGTGGAGCGCTCCACCGTGGCCTTCAGGAGGAGGATGTGGATCCCATCGGGGCCAGGTCTCTTATTGGGATAGCGTAGTATCGCCCCCATTACATCGTTGGGGCGTATGGCGAAAGTTACATCGGGCGAGGGTTCGGCATCCGGTGGAACCACGTACGGGTTTGTAGAGCTGAGTAGGTCTTCAAATGTGTCATCGGAGACATTCGTTGGTATGCAATATATTTGAGCATTTGAGTATTGCTTTGGGCAGTCAAATGTGGGCGGAACGAGTGGTTTGGCAGCAGCTGAACCCAGGGTATATTTAAGTCATAGTAGAACCCCCTGACGATTTGTGGGTTAGCGGTATAGCGCCAGATACGGTCGAGGATCTGTAGCAGCCCTTCCACTGGTTCGTACAAAGAGAGATACGACCGTAGTAGGTTCTGATGCGCTCGGATTTTGGCTTGGAATAGTCGCGCGCGGGTTTTGTTGCGTAGGTAATATAGTCGATGGCGGTATCGGTTATATCCATGAGAGGGAAGGAGTTAGTCCGGAGGCGGCGGTATTGTTGGCATTTGTTGGGGCCGATGGTATTAATTCGTTGGAAGTATCTGGAGATCGAGTCCAAAGGTGTGGTCACCACAGATACTGTAGTTCGTCAGCTTATAGATCTAGAGGGAGGCGGGCGTGGTAGGCCGATGATACGCATGTCCTGTACCAGTTGGGCCACCAACATTGAGGTAGTCCAAGGGCCACGTATTACGCAGGGTAGTTTCGATTGTGATCATACGTGGTCCATGATTCGTAGATGCGTGGCCATATTTCCGGGCTTTGAAGTTGAAGTCTCCCCAAACGACATCTGGTTGGAAATTACCAATCTCGGGGGGATTCATGTATCGCCTGACGTCTTCTTTGGTAAATGATCTGAGTGGAAGGTAGAACACGGCCGCCATATGAACACCAAAGTACATAAAGAACATCGCGTACGGCGAGGAGTGTACAAATTGAAATCTCAATGGGTGGTGTTTGGAAAAAAAATCACACCACAGTTTGAAGGGTGAAAGATATTATGCCGTGTAGTGTGATGTAGAATATGGTAGTGTGTGTTCGAGCGTATATGATTAGGGAATTTGGTGTTATGCCAGGTTTCAACCACAAACATAACATCAATCTGACTTAAAATCGATATAGCGTTCAAACACTTATCTGTATGTGCTGCGTTGTCCATATTGAGTCCTTATGGGTTGAAGAGCGTCATCCTCATTTAACTGGGCTCTCTTCCTTATCGATGTCAGCCATTTCTATACCATTGCCTGTCGTCGAAGAGTCTCTCGTGAAAGGTTGAAGCTGCGTATTGGTAACCATCGTGTCGGTTGATTGTGTCAGGAAGACCGTTGGTACGTGAAATCGTCCGGATTGCGCACGCGCTGGTTCTTTAGCGTTTGTCGGGATTCGCGGGATAGGTGAGAAGAGGGTTGTATCATGTTTTGCTTGGTAAGTCTTCTGGAGATGGTCCACGGTAGATCGGAGGATGTCTGCGTTAGTGGAATTGACAAGGGGAATCAGTAGTGCATCCATGCTGCGGGCAAGAATTTTTGACACTCGTTAATGTGTGCAGCGGGTCTCCCGCTTGGGGCGGAGATAGTGGATTAAGACTGCTTTCGTAGCGTCGGTATGTTGTTGGGAGCGGGGGTCGATGTTTTCATCAAGTTGCCATTTCCACGTAAGTGCTGCATGTCGTTTCACCTGGGCGACAGCGTCGCTAGGAATACAGACGGACGAAATTGGTGGAGCTCCACGGCGATTTAGTTGAAATAGTTTAGACAGAAGATACCAAAGAAAGTGGTGGCGTTTGAGGAGTGGTTGGACATGCCAGTATTTTTCAAATACTGATTGGGATGGGGGCTTGCCGTTAGGAAAAATTGCCCGGAAGAAGAGCCATACCGGAGTTGTCACCATTTCGTGACGAGTTTTGTCCGGCATCGGGCGGCCCACCACTTTCGTCAAAAGGTGTGCGGGTACTGGCGGCTGCGGTAGGAGCTGAGAAGCTGGTGGGGTCGGGCGTTTAATAGGGCTCGGTTTTGCGGGTTTGTCCACTTTTGAGTGGTAGCTGGGAGGCTCACTGCTGCTATTGGGCGCCGGTGACCGCGGTCTTTTTGCTGGCGGAGCAGGCGGGCTTGTGGAGCCAAATCGGAAAGTGTTGGGTGTGCCTTCAGTTATAAGTGCACGGGTTTGTTAGAGATAAGTCTATCCAACCTTGGATCAAATTTGTGAAGCACGCAAACAGTGTAATAATCTCTGCTCTCACCCATGAAGGGTTCTACAACGTCTATCGCGGGTCTGTGTGAAACTATTGTTGCCAATACACCCCTGTCTCGCCAGGTATTATCAGCATCAGTGCTGCCATTGCTTCCTATCTCCACTATGCGTTCAAGTGTTGCTTGTATATGAATACACCCATTGACATAGTAGCAGGGTCTGTATTCACCTCTAGTTTCTTTGGGAATAAAGCGCAAAGCAACTTGTATTTCACGACATACGCGCCGAGCAGGATTGTTTATCACTGCGCGAGTTCATTCTAATATCGCAAATACGGTCGCGAGGGTATGTTGATATATCTTCCTGTTTCAGTTTATAAGTATATGCTGATCACATCGTCGGCTTGCTACGTTGCGCCCATCAACACTGAGGCAAATCTAGTACGCTTTTGTGTATCTTGTCTTGTTGAGTGCTATGTATCCTCGCGGTCAAAATAGTCCTCGACAAGATGTTTATCAATCACAACTTTAATGACACTGTCTTGTGAGCATGGCTCCAACTTTACAGTTTTCAATTCCTCCTCGTATACTGGTTTATGCTTGGCTAACAATTTAACAGAATCCTTTACGTACAGTCGATCTCACTCTAGACGTTGAATCAGCGGTTACATATTCTTTTAAATCAGAAACTCTGGTATTACTACCAGAAATACTCAAACCATGAGCCGAACAGTATGTACGCAGTTGAACTCCATTCAGCATAGAAATATCAATCGGCGGCTCATCCTTCTCGAAGTTTGTTACACGCAATACACCTTTCCACTCGGCGTCTCTCGCAAAACATGACGTATTGTCCACATCGATAGCGCCAAATAGCCCAGCCGCACAATACTCGTAACTCAGCTTGTTTACAATCACCCGATTACACCAGGGCGCGGGTTTGCCTGGCCCAAAGGCATGATAATAAGTGAGATATACAAATTGTTTGACATCTTGACGCTGAGTATCGAAATACGATACGAACAGACGCGACACTGGATTGTAAACGGGTTGACAATAACACATATATGCTGCTTGCCTGACTTCTAGTCTGGCCACCTTCAATTTCTTCTCATCAGATGCAAATTGGGCTTTCAAAATATCGTCTACTGTACACAACCCTCTTTTCAGATGCTTCAGCAAAGTCGCCACTCCTGTTCGATGGATGTCTATAGTCGGTCTTAAACAGCATCGCACACATAAACAATATATGATCAAAACCATACACGGTGATATAGTACAATTTTTTTCTTCTGCATTTGATGCTGAGTCGAGATCAGGACAATGTACTTTTCAAGTTTAGAACGTACTTCACTTCTCCTAAAGATTCGCCCATATCGTCTCAGTAAATGCTTGTCAACAATCAGATTGTCTCCGTAGTGAACTATATAATCACTATCATTACAGATAATATATTCTACAAGACCTTCCCTCTGAAGATACACAAGATGATGCTCAGCCTCTTGCGGTGCAACTAAAAAGTTGACGTTACTTGCAGCTAACATATCCATCACACGATTCGCTGCTTTTAGATTACGTGCACCAACTGCCTTTTTACATTGCATGTACAAACTATCATGATCGTGATTTTCACCCTCAAGCATGCACAACACACTATCAAGTGCGGTCTGTCGATCTGACGTACGAGATGTGTTGGCTAACTTACCTGCCACACGCTGACCGTCAAAAACAGGTAAGATTGTATTGGAATTTCACTCCTTAATTGACTGTAGTGTTCTCCATACATCTATATCAAAGCGCTTGTAACAGTCTACTTCGTCCTCCGCTAGTTTAAAAACTTGTGGATAATTGCGAACATATCACAACCAATGACACTATTCCCTATAGCTGTGTAGTCTCCATATACAAATATACCCCCTAGGACAGGTAGCAACCCGTCAGTACCCATAACTACGCTCTCTGTTCTTGTATCTCTAAGTAAAGTACTACAAGTGTAATGACGAGAGGCGCGTATACGCGTGCAAATACATATGTTGTTAAATGAATTACAGTAAAAACTACCATAGCATGTGTATTGGGTTTAGGGGGTTTCAGATTTTATGTTTGCGAGTTCCGGCTTCAAAATGCCTATATTTCTGTTGTCCGACCATATTGCCACGTGGTATAAGTGCATGACTTCCAAAATGCTCGGGACGCTGAATGCGTATGTAAATATAAAATAAGCGAAAAGAATAAAGCAATTCCAATGGTAATACTAAGATATCTTTACTTCCTGCTTATATATATACATATATATTACAAATGTACATCTAAATTATTTACTAAATATTTTTGTGCTAAATTAGGAATCATCACGCAGTAATTCGAACCACTGTCGCAACGCATCCGCCAGAATATCAGGAAGTGTGTTGATATTTCGTAACACAACATAGTATGGGAACGGGAATGTTTCCAAATAAGGAGTCAACGTAAGCGCGCCATTGGGGTAGGTGACGGTTTTGTAGTCCAGAATTGAGAATTTGGCCTTGGGATTGTCCAGCACGACAAACACCAGAAGTATACCGGCATCTACATAACGAGAGGAGATGACAGAGGAAAATATGATCAGTTTATAGAAGGACTCACAAAGGAACAAAGGCCCAGTTTCACCGACGCAACTACTTAAGCACGCAAACAATGTCGAGGGATAGGAGAGGCGCACATGTGTGCATGTGTACATCTTAATATATATATATGTGTGAATGCAAGAGTAGGTAATATATCTGCTTACTCGTGTATTACAATCTCACACATTTCAAACCCACAGATATTTGAAACTGAACTTGCTTGCGTGGGGTGAGGCCGATACCGACAAGGCGAGACATAAAGGTTTGGATTTGTATATCATATGCCAGTTTGCGCATTTCCACAGGTAAAATTATACGATACGCCGTTTCCTTCTTCAAACAACAAGACGAGCCAAAAATAAAAAAGTCGCTTCTAGCGTACGTACACGTACAGGCAACACCCACAAGCAGAATTGGACACAGCCACGATCGCGGTGGATCAAAGATTGTACCCTGAACGATACACACGCGATGTTTTATGGCCAATATACACGGAATGGAGTCAACGAACAATCAAGACGCATACCAGAATAGGCACGGATCCATTTGCGCACACTCTCAACATCTGGGCAGACACCATCTGAGATCACAAGCTGGAGCTGACTGACAGGCAAGTCCGTGGACACCACCGACGAAATAAGATGCGAATAACTGGTTTCCAAGAGCTGTTCAAAATTGGTATTCTTCTGGTTGAAACTCAACTGCTGCAAGATCGAGCCGCCGGTACCATCCCCGAACTGCTCGTGGAACGGGTGCAGCAGCTTCACCTGGTCGCCAAAACTCATCACCGACAACTGGCCCACCTCCAGCGTAGTCAGGGCCTTGCTTATCATAGTCACTGCCTCGTAGGCCAGAGATGCCGAGTGCGAGTCACTCATCGACTCAGAGTCGTCTATCGTCAGAAGCACCTGGTACTCTCGCTTGGCTGGCCGTGTCCGCCTCAGCCAGATCTTGTCCTTTTTAAAGTGCGATGCAATGTACGGTATGACGCGCTTTAGATTGAGCCGTTTACCGGTGCGGTAGTCGCCCTGCAGGCGCGTGGCGAGCGTCGGCTCCAGTATAACACGCAGTTGTTCACACAAATCCTGCGACAATCCCGAAGTAATGGCTTCGTACTCTTGCCACAGCCGCTCTCCCACTGCGTCGGCATTGGGGTCGTGCGCCCTGTCCTGCCAGGCTTCCAGAATCTTCTCCACGGCCTCCCGTTTCTCCACAATCTCATCCTCTGTGGGTAACGCCAGGTCGTCAGCGTCTTGACTAGCATCAGTGCTATTTTTCTGGGTGTATATCGAGCTATCGGGCCCATCATTCGCATCCTTATCGTCGCTTTTGTCTTCTTCCGTAGCGTCTTCTGCATCCACACTGTCAATCTCCTCCTCCTCCACATCCGCTTGAGAGTCCTTCGCCTCAGCCTTGTCGGCATTGCGTGCGCTCTTTGCCTGCGACTTGCTACTCTCCTTCTGCCCACTCTCCTCACTATCCTCCGGCTTCTTCTCGCCTTCCGTCTCATCCACATCCATCTCTGTCTCCTCCTCAACCTTTTCTCCCTCTGGTTCGTCAGGCATGCCTTGGTTCTGCTGCAGCTGTTCCTCCGTAGCCACCCCGAGCACCTGGTCGTCTGCCTGGCCCTCATCCTCGTCCTTCATAAACTGTCTCATACCTTCTCCTCCCATTTCTTCATCGTTGTCACCGTCGTTCGCGCCGTCCTCCGCATTCGGGTCCTCCTCCTCTACATCCATGACGTTGAGTTTCTCCTTCCATTTCTGCAGCGTACTACCCAGACTTCGGAACGGATTGACCTCCGGCATTGCCTGAGGCTTGCTACCCGAGTCATTCTCACCATCATTGCCTCGTTCCAGCGACGCTTGCTTGTCATCCGTGCCACTCTTACTCTGTCCTGAGGTCGCATCGGTGGCTGAGCTCGGCCCGTCTTCGGTCTCCATTTCCTCAGTCTCGCCTGAGTTCCGCTGCCCGCCCTCCGCATTGACTCCTACCGACGTCGTGTCCATCTTGCTGCTCTCAGGCTTGTGCTTCTCCTCCTCCTCCTCATCTGCACCCTCCCCCTCTTCCCCGTGGTCTTCCTTGATGCCCTGTTCCGCACCTATTTCCACATCGTTGTCATCTTCCATTAGCTTGGGTGGCTGCCCCTCGTCTCCTTCCTCCTCATCGTCTCCCTGGTCGCTCTCACCCGCTGCCTGCAGCGAGTCCTCGCCCTGTTTCCCGTCCTCCTCTTCCTCCTCATCATTGCCCTTCTGCTCCGTATCCGTCGCCACATCCCCTTCTGGATCCGCATCGTCGCCCTCCTCCGGGTCATTCAGCTCCTGGGCCCCATCATACTCCTCCGCCATAGCCTTCTCATCCTCCATAGGCGCCGTTTCCTCCCCATCGCCATCGGGCCCATCGTGCTCGTCTTTGTCATCACCCGCGTCATCATCCAGTTGCATGTCCTCGGGTAGGTCGACATCGGGATTCTCGTCGTCCGCTGCTTGGTCGTCGTTGGGCTGTTCCTGCGGATGGTGGTGGTGGTCTTCTTCTAGCTCCTGTACTTCGTTGACCAGGTCCTCGTTGTTCTGGTCCTCCTCTTGGCTGGGCAGAGGTTCTGGCTGTGGTTTCTCAGCATTCTCCTATGGCGGATGAGCATACAATAGATGTACAATGGGTTATACACTGATGTATGCTGCCAACACATTAAGTGTGTATGTGGGACCTTAGTAAGCTTACGTTCAGCGCGCGGCAATGCAAAACTACCAACATCACACACCGAGTCGCAGCAATGCACAAAGTACAGAAGTACGCACTTCAGACCTACCTGCTCTTCCTTCTTCTTGTCGTCTTTTGGCTTCTCATCGTCGCCGTCCTGTTTAGCTACAATTTCACTCTCCTCGTTCTCATTGGTCATGGACTTGCCATCCTCCTTCTTCTCTTTCTCGCTAATCTCGTTGTCCTCTTCGTCATCTCCCCACATCCGTTCGTCAACGACATCAGCGTCGTCCTATTGAGGTACCCATGCAATCAATATATCAACACTTTTCTTACATCAGATGGAGACACTAGCATCACTTTCTAAGCAGGACAATCCAACTGCCAAACGTACAATTCCGTCTTTTCAACAGTTCACAACAGAAACTGAGCACATGCGTGAGTAGTTCTAAAAGATCCCATAAGCATCAGTCAGTAGCCGATTCAACCCGGCATGAACAACAATACACGGAGTCAAAAGGTACCTACCATGTTGGTGTCACCCATTTCATCGTCCATATCCTGCTCTTCCTTCTCTTCGCCGTCGTCCTTATCATCCTCCATGTCCTCCAATTCTTTCTTGTCCATGTCGTAGAGGTCACCGTCGAATTCTTGTTCCATTTCAATGGCGTTGTCCTGCGGCGAGTTCGACAACAAGGAAGAGGTGGGTGAGTGACAGATTGTTCAAAACGGCAGAAGAAACAATCTAGCGAATAACGTGATATTGATAGTAAATCTGTTCCAATTGGTGGCACACAATATATATATGCATACATGCATGCATACATACACCATATATATATATATAAATATATACATACATATATATATAGAACAAAACACAGCAAGGGGTACAACACAGTACATTACACATACATACATATACTTACATACATACATCATATACACATATATAAAAATATACATACATATATATAGAACAAGACACAGCAAAGGGTACAACACAGTACATAACATAACCCAGGAGAAACCCAGCACCACACCTCTTCCGGTACATTGCCGCCCTCATCATTCTGCTCCTCATCTTTAGTGCCTGTGAGTTGGTCTTCGTTCTCGATCTGTTCAGAGACATCGTTCTCGCCTTGACCCTCGCCCATGCCCGCCATCTCCCCTCCGGTCTGTTCGTCGGCCGTTGCGTCCTGCAGATCCGGGGGTGTGCAAAAGCCCTTGGCCAGGAGATCGCTGAAGAGGTTCAGCAGGATGTAATACATCTTGCTCACCGACTTGTGCAGACACACAAACTCGTCCATGGCCTGGCTCAGTATGACACCGTACCGCTCCAGTACGGGCACAGCACGCACCAGCATACCCGCACACGCCGTCAGTAAATCCGCGTTGTATTCGGCGTCCACGTCGTCGCCCATGGCGGCGATCTGGGCGCTGAGCGATGCAAACGCGGCGTTCATTGCGGGCAGCTTCGCCGCCTTGAGGACAGATGTCATGTACGTGTGCGAGCGCGTAAGATAGTTCGGCGTGAACTTGGACGGGTCAAATCCGTCCTCCCATTCTGCAGTGGACTCGGGTGTATCCTGCTCATGCTCCTCCTTCAACTTCACGATGCGCTGTACCCGAATGAGTACGTTGGCAATAAGCGCATCAAAGTCTCGCTCAAACGCATAGGCTCTTTCTCGGACTGTCTCGGGCACGGCTCCCATATCCGCTACTGGGGGAGTTAACTCGGCGCTAAAGTGTGGTCGAAGAGATGTTCGGTACCGCGATTCGGCTGCGTGGGTCGCAGCACATACATCCCGCAACGAGTTCAACAGACTGCGCTGCTCGGGCCAGTTCGGACTATCCACTACTCCAGCCAAGAAACCGGATAATCCCTCAGACACCTTACCTACCCGTGCGTACACATCATCCAACCCTGCAGTCACGATACCTACCTCCACCACCATGGGCGGCGGTGCCGTGTCAATACGCTTGGACTCGAACACACCGATATGCTCGTGCTTGAGTGCATGTAGGGCAGTGCGCACCCGGTGCAGCTCTGCGAGCGCCGAGGAGAGCCTGTTTCGGATTGTCGACTCTGTCCTGGTCGATTCCTCATGCAAACTTATGGCCGCAGTGGTCTCTCTTACTACGCGTGCCATGGTGTTGACGGTGTCCATGGTCTCATTCCAACACTCCAGTACGAGTGCGTGGGTGGCCACAACTGGGCCGGAACCGTTGGTTGTCACTAAGCGGTTTCCAAGGTGGACGGTGTGCTTGAGGAAACGTTTGAAGTTGGAGAGCTCCTCCGAAACATCGCCGAGGAAGCGCCGTTGTGCCACCACCAAGCGAAGGAAGTGCTCGGAATACCCGCGCGCTCTATCGGCGTCTTGTGGCGTCAGATCTGGTTCGCAAAAATGAAATTGAATGTAGTTTAGAGCGTAGTTAGAGCTAGCAAGATAGAACTGTTATGGACTGACAGAAGAGAAGGCTGGAAGAATATAATATCGGGGCTGGGGCGCATGGCTCACACAAAGGTGACTAGTCCGAAAAATTGGGTACGGTCACAGGAGGTACAGTGGAGTGAAGGCGTACGATGTCACATTTGTCACCAGAGAAACTCAGTACTCAACACAACGGGAGCCAAGCGCGACAAATAAATGCAGCACTACACTACACAAACCCTATAGGGAACTAGAAGAGCAAATGTAGAACCATTATGTATTGACTTACCCTGAGCGCGACCTCCGAAGTATAGCTTTCTGATGATCACCATGCGGGACACACATTTGTAGAAGTAGTCATTGATCTTCGCTGCAAGATCGGCCACATCGCTGGTTTGAGGACTGTTTTGCGGTGGAGCAAGGCATCACATCAGAAACAGAAATGAATGTACGACGAGGATTTGAGTGGAAACAGGCACGGATTCAGATATAAGGCATTGGAAGAGGGCTATGAGCCATCACGCTAACATTCTGAAGAGGCATGCGTGTGTGATAAGTACAACCAGAGAGGCCTCTGGGTAAGGGGTGGTGGAGTGCATTCGACGTACCACAACTGGTCATCCTCGAGATGCGCCTCAGTGAATAAATGAGACAGCAGGGCGCTCTCATCCTCTGCCGCAACGCTTCTGTACGACAGCCCAGCGGCGGATAGTTGACGGAACAACTCAGCCAGATCCTTGCGTTTCATCACTTTGTGTAACGCCCGCGAGTCCTTGTCTGCGGGTTTCTCTTCGTCGGCGCCCGCATCTGCTTGTTCCTGAAGGTAATGTAATGTACCGCATGTTTGGTTAGTAAGAAAGCTACATACACTTGGCGAGCCGCCGAGAGATCTTGTATTCGATCTCACTTCAAGGCAAAGTATACGACAAATATGATATTTTCGGCTTGAGTCTCGTATGAAGAATCATACTTTCTTGCGGGCTAAGGTGGCCTCGGTATCCTTGATATCCTGCGCATCCCACAGGCGGTACTGCTCTACGCGTTGGATGATATGAACTGCGAACTCCTCAATGCCCAAGATGGTCGACGGGTTGAGTGCTGGCATAATCTGCTTATCGCACACTTTGGTCAAACGCCCAGTCAGTGCCGCCAACCGACTGTGGAAGCGCGTGGGGTCGGACACGTGGAACCACTCTGCGTTCGAGACAAGAATGAGAGAATGCCAATGTCAGTGTCAGGATTCACGAAAAGTACTTCCAAGTATCTACCAGACACATTCGTAACCATGTCATAAACAATGGATAATGCCAGGTAGTTCTTTATCACAGAGACACTTGCAGAGTTGTACGGTGACATTAACGAGTTTTGGCGAAACAATCGAATAGTGTGACAATTAAATCTCCGTTTCTGCAGACTAGCTTTTAGGTAGCCTTGGCAGATATGCGACAGACCGACAGGCACACACACTACAATAAATAGATTGCCGGGCCAATCTGACCGATGACTTAGGTATGGTAAGAACCATTACAGATATAACCTAGTAAATTTAGTATACATGCATCGCGTATTTCTACGCTAAACCCCACCTTCATATCTACTTAGCACCGGAGAGCTCAGGGCACCGATGGCCTGAACACTGGTCGACGGTTTCCAATTGTCCCTATGGCACACGCGTGTTATGATACTTCCCATAGCAGCAGCTGCGAAAGAACATACGATGTCAAGCAAAGAGAGGAGCAGGGAAGGAATGAGTTACAAAGAAAGTTATAGAATGACAATTGTGACCCGGACTATACGCAGACCCACATAAAAACAATACATACACGGCTGTGCAGGCGGGTACTCTATAGTGGCGGCCTCGATTTCCGTCAGATATGTCCGCAGTGGCATCTCGAGGACAGTGGACCATTTGGTGGTGAACTTATGCAGCGCGCGATGTGTTTTGTCACCTGCAGATTGGGTCATTGAGAGATAAAGTGTGTGACAACTCCAACTACCGGTCGATACTTCGATAGAACACACCATGTCGCACCGCACAATTAAACAGCATCCAATCAAATCAACGCATAATCTAACAGCAGCCAATCAAATCAACGCACGCAGCAGTACTCACCCGCTTGCTTCATGGCCCAGTAGTTGATGTCATTCCATTTGGCTAGCTTGACATGCTCTCTCAGCTGCCTCTCCAACGGTTTCTTGGCGCCGTGCAATTTGGCCTGGATACCAGGTAGGTACTGGCGGTAGTAGGCGTAGAAGCTGCCCAACATGTCGTGTAGCTTCACCTTAGCCTGAGTGTGTCAGAGTGGGTAAAAGAGGCATTTAGATGGGGGCTTTACACCAACAGTGACACGGGCGGTCTCAACACGGACTGTGAAGATTGAGAGATTCCCCACACCTTCCAAAAGCCCAAAAAAAAACGTTCATCGAACGCAAAGACATATGGGATGAACTAACTAGCCCCCATTTATGTATTCCTATTTGCAACATACCGAGATGGAGTAGCCAGCGATGCCACTCTTCAGCTCGGCTTTCAATTGCATGTGGAACTGGGCAATCAGGCGCAGTCGGCATGCGAAGTTGCCCATGGTGGATGTCTGTGCGATTGGGTGTATAAGCAATCCAAGCGTCAACACGGGGCGAACAAAGCAATGGATTGGAGCAACGTATCACATACCAGGAAAGACCTTGCACTCGACACGTGCTAAGTTGTACAGAGATTTCGGTTTGGGTCTGCTGTGATTAAATGGTACTTGATCCTTGGCCAATTCTTACCTGCACCATTTCCTCAACGACAGTGAATATCTCTTTGTGATGGCTCTCTATGGCGTCTTCTCTGCCCAGCTCACTCTCCAGAGTCGGGTCGGCGTTGATGACTGAGTATAGGTGGAACCACAGTCTGCGCGACAGGGCTTCGTGCTCTTGATGCTGTGAGGCATGGTGTGTAGGTGATGAGCATGGGGAGAGATGAGACGAGTACAAGCTAAACGTCTGACTGGTAAATAGGTTAGCTATACATGCATGGTAGTTATCTATCGATAAATGACTATTGAGAGACGGTAAGGCGTATACGATGAACTATATGCGCAAACTGGTATTCAAGATATGATCAAAGGGTTTCAGTTTACTCGCACAGCAACTACCACCAACTAACAATACGACCACCGGTGGTCCCTTTATCCGTTTGAATTGCACAACACGGGCGGTCTATCCGAGCATAGAGACATACCGTTGAGTCCAGGGCTAACGACCACTGATCCAGTTCCTTCTTCCTCATATCTAGAATGAAACGTGTGACCGCTTCTGTGTGTACCTTCAGCGACACGTGCGAGGCGGCAAACGCCTCCCATTCCATGCCCTGTGATAAAAATAACATCCAATGAGCGTCGCAGGTTTAGTGAACGCTACAAAGTGATAGAAAATACAACCGCTGACTTGGGTGGTTGAGTTGGTATCCATACACCAGAAGTAGTGTGTCCGTTGCACGTCTGTCGACGCACATGGACCCGACAAAGCACTGCACGTACGTATCCCAGGGAAATACACATAATAGTGAAAACTCGCATCTAACCTACGCGAAGATAATGCTCAACCCAAACCCAAACCCAAACACACATATATATATATGGATATATATATGTATGTATGTATGTATGTATATATATATATATATATATATACCCACTTGTGTGTCACCTACCTGCCTGAGTAGCAGCTCAGCGGCAGACAACAGCTTCATTAGCGGACTGGCCTGTATCGAGAACGACAAGATGCGGTCAATCACAGCCACAATGCCCATGAGCACGGGGTGTTCTGGCCACGTGACCAGGTGTGTGGTGGCATCGACGCGCATTGGCACAGCTATCTCGCCTAAGCGCCGAGCCTCAGCCAAGGACGTGTCTGTGTAGTGATTGATGCGCAACGGTGATGGCTGTAGAATGGGCTGAGCCCCGGGGTTGAGGAGGGCAGACAGCACCTCGATATCTGTTGGGATAGGCGAGGATAGGATGTCAGACATGTGTATGAGAAAACGTGATACGAATATGTAGGGACGAAGCAATTGACACGCTCTGCGATAAAGGCACACTTGTACCATGCAAGACAACTATGTGCCAACATTGAAGTCAAGTGACACCTATCATACCTACTCACACTCAGTACAGTATACGGGTAAGATGACTACATACCGGCGGCAGGAGCGGCCTCACTCCACTCCTTGGATTGCACGCTCAGTGTATTGTTGTGTTGGGTCTGTAGCATATGCTTGCGGGTCATCTTGGCCCGCAGGCTGATCGCCACGAGTGTGTCCATCTGCGCGCGGTCGTCGCTGTCAAACGAGAGCTCTAAGCCCAGCCCCTCGAGCAGCGGCAGAGTGGCTTCGTAGTTATATCGGAAGGCTGCGAGATGCTCTTGCTCAATCGTGTGCTTGTCTGCGTGCGACATACTCGCGTGGTTGCCGAGGGTGCCGAAAATAGCGGCGTGCATGTCGGTGATGTGCAGCGTGGCTTCTGGGCTCAGCGGGTTGGTGAGAGTGGCACTATCTTCTGATGGTTTGGCCTTCGACGCTGTTGCGGACGCTGGCGAGTGCGATAGTGTTATAAGGCACGTGTAAATTAGAGGTCATATGGCGAAGGTTTTTAGTAGCCAATAACTTTCCAATAACAGGTACGTAAGCCCGAGAGTGAATAAGTTGTCTTCTAATTAAGTCAGCTCAAAACGTATATATATATATATATATATATAATGATACAGGCTGATCACCGCCATGCATCGCACACGCACTGGTAGTGAAAGAGTACGACAATAGAAATCTATATCATGAAGAGTCTCCGAGGAGTAGGTATCGCGCACGCATAAACTCGCGTGTGGCGATAGCGGAGCTAACACAATCTCAACCCCCACAGACACGAGTGTCATATACATCAGCGCCATAACATTCTAAGTGCACATGTAGGTAGCATGGTAGTGACATACCGTTGGTGTGATAGTCTTTAGTGATGTCGGTGAATTCGTCATCAAATGACGGACACTGCTGCTGGTACAGCCGTTCTTCAAGCGTTCTCTCATCCTCGAGCACAAACACTTTCTCTCTGTGATTCGTAGGATTAAAACGTTAACAAACTGAAAATGTAAAATATATCATATGATCGGATGCAAGCCACACCACCACTATCCATCCAAACACAGAACCACAAAGTCGCACAAGCACCCACACACACAAACCACAATCGCATCCGCATACTTTGTCTTGAACGCCAACGCATCGGCGCGTTCCTTCGCGAGTTTCTGCTCCTCGTACGCCGTCCACACGTCCACCACATCGCTAAACATTCGCCCCAGATCGGTCACATGGGCCGCCCCCACCGTTTGGGTATCCAGCACGTGAACATACGCGTGGCGCAGGCTACTCATAGCCAGTGGTACGCCGCTGAACTGAGTGATCAAGGACAAGATGGGTGAGTTGGCCTGGACGTGACCGGCCGCAAGCGTGAGGTCCTGCGTGCGGTGGACGTACCGGAACGGTGCACAACCGGACCCCTTCTGGAAGGATGGGAAGCGCAGCAACTCTGTGACCAGCCGCGTCATCCGCGGACGGATCTGCGTGCACATGTATGCCTGCAGGTCCCCTGTGATGGGTGTGGCATTCACAGGAGAAGGCGCTGAGTAGAGCATGTCCATCTGGTGTACGAGCTGGTCGCCCAGAGTGTCTACACTGGCCACCATCTCATCAATGGCCAGCATTAACGGGTCGACGATATCCACAAACATGCCGCTAAACCTACGCAGCGATGAACAGAAGCTCCGCTGAGATTCGCGCCACATGCGCCAGCGACTGAGCACGTCGCTCACGCTCACAGACGCCGCGTGCGTGTCCTTCTGCGCCGCTGCACCGTCACGCATCTCCCGAAGCAACGCCACTATGCACGCACACAGATCCAGCACCACACGCGCACTGCCAATGGACGAAAGATACCGCGACACCTCCGCGCGCAGGTCAGAGAACGTGTCGTCGCCTGGCCGTACCAACACACGCATGGACGTATGCTTCAGCTTCTCGTGTACATGGTTCATCTCAGCCACACACTCTTTCATATCCACGCCACCGCTGCCATCGCCTCCATCGAGTGTGGCCTCGGTGGTGGAGACAACCTTCATGCGCGCCTCAATGGCCCGCTGACGCAGGAGGCCATCTCGTTCCTTGAGCGAATACGATGTCGAGGGATCTACTACAGACGCACACGCCCCCAGATGGATCTGCAACAGCCCCATATACACCCAGCCCATGGCCAGCACTCGCTGCGGCTCCGCCTGCTCGGCATACAACTGCAGGAAGGGCCGTATGCACCACACGGCACATTCTCGCAGGGACGCATTCGCGCAACGCTCAACAATGGCAGCCAAGGCCTCGCTGTCCTCCGATGAGAAGGGGTGTACATCAGCTGCTGTGTGTGCGGGTGCCGTATCTTCTGCACAGTCTACCCGCGAGGCTATGGCCGAATGGGCCAACTGGCACAGCCGTAGGTAATCCTCGTGTGAGAACCCTTTCCGGAAGCCAAGCAACACACCAAAGAGGGTCGACTCCAAAGCCAAGAAATGCTGGAGGTCTCTGGTTTTAGTTTCGACACTACCCTCCACTGGCTCACCGTTGTCCAAGACCGTCTGCAAGTGGGTAGCAGTGAGTGCTTGCGCGCGATGTGCAACTACATGCTCGACCTTCTGCAGCTGAGTGATACGCCGCGGCATATCGCCGATGGAGCACGACGAAAACTGCGCCACCAGCGCTGTCATGTAGCCCACATCTGTGTTCAGACCCAACTGAGTTGCGGCCGAAGAAGCTGGCAGTCGAGATGTTTTGGCAAGCTTCTGCTCTCCCTGTTGCAAGACTTGGGTCATCGCATCCAGCGCGTCTTCGGTACCGAACTGTTCGCCCACATTCGCGGCGCTCTCGACGAGCTTCGCAGCCAGCGGCATGTAGGCCACCTCCGCCAGCAGATGGCTTCGCACACCACGGTGGAACGAGGCTATAGCGTTAGTAAGCACAGGCACCACACTCTCCCACGGCAGCCTATCCTCGCCCAGCGATAGCAGCCATCGCAGACATAGCCATGGCGCCCAGTCCGACGCGGGACGGGAGTAGCTGTCCATTCTGTTGCGTGACATGTGTGCTTCGATGCGTTGCAGCAGCACAGCACGCACTTGTGCCGACAGTTTGGGCTGCGATGTGTGCGCCTCAGTGCGCAACAGAACCACCAGCGCACTTATCTGCGACACCAGCCGTTGCTCCTCCATCAGCAACTGGTGGTCGTACACAGGCCACAACTCCACGGTACTTAATTCGCTGCCCGACTGCTGCTTCTCTCCACTTAACAACTCGGTATTGGCAGACGCGCTAACGGGCAAGGCGATTTGCTCCAGCACCTGATAGATCTTCTCAAGCATGGCCTGGCGATTAGCGGCACCACTGCGCGCGACTGCGTTTGCTGCGCCGTTAGTCTGTGTCTCTCCAACTGCGTGTGCTTGTTCAACACTGAGCATGGTGGCTATGCCTTCTGTCAGCGTCTGTATGGTTGTCCTGTTGGCTTTCTCCAGGAACGGATGTCCGGGAAGGGACAGCAGCCAAACAGGGAAGGCCGGGAACATGGCCGAAACAGCCGTGGGCTTATACACATCGAGGTCAGACGACAAATCCAGCAACTTGCGCATTACATCGTACTCTCGAAGGGTCTTGTACCCTCGAGGTCTCAGCCAGTTCTTCCACAACACCAGACCGTTTACAGCGGTCCTCAGCTGCAGACAGTCACTCACATACTCGCACGCTGCATTCAGCGCGTCCGCGTAGTCAGACGCTGTCGACGACGACTCACCCGCGACAGTGACAGTGCTATGCTCACGGAACTGGCACAGAGCACGAAGAAACCATCGCCAGTGTACCACTAAAGATGACACTATTTCAGTCTGTTTCTCGCGAGAGAAAGACGTGTTTGCGGCGGCGTAGAGCGCATCGCGTGCCGATAGCAAATGCGCTAGAGATGTGATATCCGAGTCTACTACAGACACACTGTGTGCCTTGCTTGTGTCGACGGCTGTAACAAAGCCGGAGGCAAGGATATCCGATAGCCATCTGTCCAGGGCCACAATGAACCCGAAGAACCGGGTACACAACGGGTGCAGCGCTTTAGAAGAGGGTAATGTTTTCTGGTAAATGAGGAATGATTGTTGGAGGATGGAGTACTCTCGATGCGAGGTGCGCCGTGTACGCGCCTGCAGCTGATCTTCTTGAAACAACACACGCCATCTGCGACAATACAGTACACTCAGCACATTGCCAACGCGACACTGCACGTTCCAAGCCGTGTTGAGCTGATTTTGCGTCTCATCGTTTGTGGTTGTGTTTCCAAGCGATGAGTGTAATGCGGTCCACAACTGGATATTCGCCTTACAGGCGATGGGTTGACTATCCAGGAGACCTGTGGGCAGCGCTAGACAGGCGGAAAGCTGTTCCCGGGCCTTCCTCAGTGTCTCCAAATGTGAGCAGCTCGCCAATAGGTACAAACCCCTCTGTAGACCCTTGCTAACCGCGTGCATTTCACGACCAACAACCGATTCAGGTGTCTTGGTCCACTCATTCACCCACGTCACGCGACGCTCGACATCGTCCAGACATGTGCGTTCTAAGAAGTAAGCCCCCGCCCACATAAGCTGGTCTTTCAGTGTCGTCAAAAATTCAGTATCTGTAACCACCTTCAGTGTTGCATCGATACCACAGCCCCTACTGACAACGGCCGTGCACATGGCCTTGGCGACACATACGTCAGCCGGGAGATATGACCACGCGGAGGACGAAGCGGTCCCGAACTGTTCCAACCCAGCAGCATCAACAGACGACGCGGCGAGAAGCGCAGAAACTCTCTCGCGAGCGTATAAGTTCTTGAGGTGGGTCAGATACACTCCATCGCGGGCGATTATGGCCATCCTGGGCGCTCTAACCAACGTATCGCAACTGAACAGCGCAGGCTGGTACCACAACTCCGCTGCAGGCAGTGGCTGTCTGGCCGCAGTCGTGTCCGTGTCTGTGAGAGTGTGAGTCTCTGTGGGAGAGAAGGAGCTCAAATGGCTCTCAATCACCTCTTGGATAGTAGCACGCACTGACGCCACGCGGCGGCAGCGCACATACACTTCAACGAGCGCGGTGCGGAGCGCGCGCTGGATGTCAAACCCACGGTGCAGCATCTCGCTGATGAGACGGCCAGCATGCAGAACATCGCGTACAGACAGAGGGAAGTCAGCCGAGGCTGGGACACTCCGGCGGATAGCGTAATGGCACGCAACCAGGAGTGAGGTCACCACCGGGTTGGCTACGCCTGCAGTCTGCAGTAATATCACCATGTCAGTAGGGTGTGTGGGGGTTGTGGGTAGCGACGCTAAGTTGCGGCTTGAGGCTGGAGCGTCGGCATTCACCAGACTGATCTCCACCCCACGGTTGCGCATAGCTCGTGAGAGCTCGCCGTACTTCGGGTCCACGGACAGTATCAGCCGGAAGTTGTGGTGAGGTATGATGCACTCCAGTGCACCATGAGTATTCACACCTCGCTCTGTGAGTACAAGCGTGCCGTTGGGCTCCATCAGCGGATTCAACCGATCCATCACTGACGGCGAGCACAGATTAGCGTTGTCGATAAGAAGCCAGTGGCCTTCTTTCAGCGCGCGCACGAGAATACCGTCGACCCACTCAAACGATCCGCGCACATGCGTCGCATCCAGCGTGGCAAGCGCATCCACAGCCTGGCGCAGCTTCGAACAGGTGGTCGTGATACCCACGGTAGCGGGAGTCTCAGCACACGACCGCACAGCGGCTTCTATCTGGTCCAAGAACGCAAACATGGCATCGCGTTGTTCGGCGCTGAATCCGACGGCGTCGCTGGCTTCACCGTCAGGCGCCGTTGGAGATGGGGTATGTTGGTCTGTTAACTGGTACATTTGCCACGTGTTGTGCACCTGCTGCACCATACTCAGGGCTTGTTGTGCACTCGCACCTGACTGAGCTGAAGCAACACCGGGAACCAGAACCAGCGCCTGCGAAACCATGGCAACCAGTGCAGAAGCTCGCGTGACAATCTCGGTGCGGCGTCGGAGCATGTCCAGCTGCTCATAACCCCCAAGCAACTCGCTGGTGTCCACGGCACTGTTCATCGCAAACTCGTGCAAGCGGTTACCGGTGAGACTGGCTGCCAGCCGGATCAGCGAGGTCTTCCCCGCGGCCGAGTCGCCGACTATGATGGACATCCAGCGCATTTCCGATGCTGTGAGCACGTGTTTCAGTGGGCGGCGCAGTGCATGGGTGGCCAAAAGCTCGCGCGCGCCTACGCTGAGGTCAGCCGTTGAAGCGTGGTGGCGCTTGGCGAGTGTGCTGCCCACCTGCACATGAGACTCGGTCAGGCGGATGCTGGGGTACTCATCGATTCGGTGCTGAAATGCTAGCTTGTCGTGAGCAAAACACTGGTGATACAGATCCAGCACTGCGGTTCTGTCGCTCTCGGTGCGCATGCGTTGCAGGTATAAGAAGTCCAGGAAGTCATTAGGACTGTATCGGCCCTGGCTTTGGTTGTTGGACATCACCTCGCACCAGCGGAGCACATCTCGCAGATTGAACTCCCACGGTCCGCCTTTACTACCGAACGCTCTATCTACCATAGTGGCGTGGTGCAGACGTGAATTGAACGAGATCATGCTGTCGATGATATCCTGGTCGATATGCGGGAACATGGACTTTGCAATAGTTCGCAGGTCCGTCGCGTCTAGCTCCTCGACATACACTCGGGTGAATCGATTGAGGAAGGACTTGGGCAGACCTTTACGCCCACCTCCCTGGGCCAGGGGGTTCTGGCAGGCAAACACTCGTAGCGGCGCCTTGCACTCAAAGCTGCGGTCGAGTTCAGGAATGTACACAACCCCTCGATGATCCAAACACGCATTGAGTCCTTCCAGCACAGACTGCGATGCTAAGTTAAGCTCGTCCAACAGAATCCACTTGCCATTCTTCATAGCTTCGAGGAACGGTCCATCTCGCCAAGCAAACTCGCCGCCTTGACCCCCTTCCACCGGCAGATCGGAACCAAACAAGTCCATAATATCGGTCTGGTCACTCAGATTGATTCGTACCAGAGGATACCCGGCCGCCTTGGCGACAGCGGTGACAAGCGACGTCTTACCTACGCCTGGACTACCCTCGAGCAGGATCGGCATGGTAAGCTGCAGGCCTCTCAGCACGCGCTGCATGTTGCTGAGCGTTGTAGGGGCGGACAGCGCAAACGAAGTGGTCAACGAGCTCCGTTCGACCGAATATAACGGGCCGATGGGGATGGCGAATGAGTCCACACAGAACTCAAACTGACCCTCTGAGCCTACGGTAGCCGACTCGCGAACAACCGGTGCACCGATGCGTCGCTCACTAACGGGCGCGTCGGATGTAGCCTCTGCACCGCCTGCAATAGCCGCGAGCTTGGTTAAGTGGGCCACACAGGCCTTCTTGGTGTCACGGGTGTGTGAGCCGTAAGCGACACTGCTTCCAGTGCCCAGCGCATCAACAAACGCCATGCAGCCACCATGCACAAACGCATCGCCGCCTGTTGAATTGCGGTTGTGCACACAGTTCACCATGAAGTTCGACCAGCCCAGGATATTTCGCAGACTGACCACCACTTTGGGATTGTGGTTGACCCTGAACCAGTTGACGAAGCTGAGAATGGGCTCACTGAACGCACTCAATCCTTCGTAACTGCTCATGGAGGCATCCAAAATGGCCTTTAAATCGGCCGGATCCGATACCGAGGGCACCCAAATCTCCGTAAATCGGTTCCGCAGGGCTGGGGACAATTCCTTCTTGCCAAAGTCACCACCCGGATTCATTGTGGCCACGATGCGGAAGTCCTCGACGCCCACTATCTCCTGTACGTGGTCTGACCCCTTCTCCGCCAGCGTCAGGCCTCTGTACGGCTCCAGCACACTGTTCAGCCGTTCTAGCACCGAGTCATCGGCCAATGAGATCTCGTCAATCATGAACATATCGCCACACTGCATCGCCTGCACCAGCGGGCCATCGTGCCACGCGAATAGAGTGGTAGCGGCGTTAAATTCGGCGAGTAGCTCTCTGCCACGCGCCACTAAAGGCGTTCGTAGATCCGCTGTGCTGGAATATTTACCGTCAACTATAGATTGTACCACGGTAGACACTATAGCGCGCAAAGCCTCATTGGTAGACGCCGCCCATTCGGATTCCTCGGGCAATTTCACCGTGCAACCCAAAGACTCGTCACTCAGTACATCGGAGACGTAGCTGTGTGCGTCTATGCGCACAGCAGCTATTCGTCCGTCGCGCCCACGTACTGGGCGTAGACCTCCAATGAAATCGGCTGTTTCTGTGTGCTGGTGACAATTGACGGTGCGTAATAGTTGCCCCTGGATTGCGGTGAGTAGCTGGAAAACAGTGGTTTTACCACAACCGGTCTCTCCCACGAGCAATACGGGCTCTTTGAACTGCAGACAGCGCTGCACCAGTGTGATCAACCGCAGCATGGACTGTGTGGCAACGATGTTACGGAATGGGTACAGGCTGTTGTTTGGGTCAGCAGAGGCCTGTTTTATCATAGTCTGCATGGCGGCAAAGCCCTCGTGACTAGCACCGTACATGGCCGTAGGGTCTAGGCTGACCTTCAAATGCTTCTCTATGGTTTCCTTCACAATCTGTTTCTCCTCGTCTCGCCGGCACTTCTCAGCCAGCACCATGTAGCCATCCTCCGCCAGCTGGTCGTAACCGTTGGCATCACGGCCCGCCCACCTGAACAAGTCGCGCAGTGTAATAAATCCGTGCTTGCCCGCAAACAGACGCGTACCTTGTCGGCGTTTTTGTAGATCCTTCAGAATGGCTACCAGCTTAGTACAGTAGCTAGGGGCGATTTGCGTCCGTTTCGCCAAAATTGTTTCCAACTCATTTTCGGGTATGTCGTCAAAGTGCAGCTCCACGAAACGGTTGCGGAAGGCCCGGGAAAGCACCTTACGCCCACCGTACACACCAGGAGGGTTCTGCGTCGCAAACAATCGGAAGTGTGGGTGTGGCTTAATCACTTCCTGCGTCTCGGGAATCATCAGTTCTCGATTGTCGTCCAGCAATCGATTTAGGGCCTCCAGCACATCGGTGGGTGCCAGGTTGAGCTCATCCAGCACAACCCAGTACCCGTGCCGCACAGCCTGCACGAGCACACCCTCCTGGAACACAAGACGGCCCTTGTCATCTGCCGTGTACGCTCCCAGATACTCCTGCAAATCTGTGTGTTCGTGGTTATTGATGCGCACGAAGCGATGTCCGGAGCGCTGCGCCATATACTCCACCATGCTCGTCTTACCACAGGAAGTGGGGCCCTGCAGCAGCACAGGGAACTGTCCGCTGACCAGCGCTCGCGCAATTCGCCGCAGGTTCTCGCGCGTAGACTCAGTCAGCACAAACTTCGTGTCTTCCTGTGCGACAATGGGCGCGGTGTCGCCACACTTGAGCCATATATGCTCGACACGGCACCAGCCCAGTCCCTCATCGATCGGACTCCTGTCATCACCCCCGGACGCCGACGCGAGCGCAGTTTCACTAACATTTCCGCTGGCATCCAGTAGGGCGGGGTTGGGTAGGATGCGGTTCACCTGCTTGGGCGACATACCGAAGCCCACGTACTTGTGGACCAGGCTTTGCATCTTCAGGTACGACTCACGTCCCAAACTCGTCAGAAAGGCCGAGCAGAACCCTTCGTATAGTGCTCGTTGCAGGCCATATCGGTGCACCAGCAATCGCGACCCATCCAGTGCACGACACAACGTACGCAAACTGTAATGCGGCTTCTGGTTGGCTCCATCGGTTAGTTCACTCTCCGCATAGCGGATTGCGTCTAGGTACAGTGACACAACCGCGTCCACCACGGTGGTTGGTAAATTGCCTAATCGGGACAGATACTGGTTGGCCAGTATGACCAGATCGGCGCGGTGCGTGAGCTCGTCCACATACAGCTCAGTGAACCGACTCCTCACACCCGGAGGCAGATTGCGCTTACCTACATCTGTGGCAGGATTCATGCACCCAAACAGTCTGAACTGCGGGTGGCGTGGAATAGGCGTCTGGTCTCCACGCTCCGTAAGCACGAGCGAACCCGTTGGACTTTCCAGGAGCCCATTCAAGCACTCTAGTGTTTCCGCGGCCGCCAAGTTCATCTCGTCTAAAAGAATCCAGTGTCCGGAACGCATCGCCTTGACTAGCGTGCCCTCGACAAACGAGAACGCAAATCCGTGATCTACGTGCTTCATCTGAGCGGTGAACTTCTGCACATCCTCCATGAGACCCTCCCACTCAAGCTGCAGTCCCTGCGTGTCACTCCTAGCAGCCTTTTGGACGGGTGCCGCTGCATTCCCGTTTGCGCGCGATTCACTCTGATCACCGGCCGCAGAAGGTCCGAACTTCTTTGTGTACATTTTGCCGGCCGCATTCAGCAATGCCAGGAACCGCTTCCACTTGCCCCGGGCATATGCCGACCTCACTTCGTTCAAGAACTTGGCATTTGCCTTCTGAGAGAAGGTGGCCTTGAACACCCGGTCGAAAGTGTCCACCAGAGGGGTGGCCAACACGCGCACATCCACAGGCCGGAACCCACCCACCAGATCCGACAGATCGCTCTGTTGACTCATATTCACCACGACTAGCTTCTGGTTCATACTCAAGGCCAGGCGTTGCACCAGCGTGGTTTTACCAGTCCCCGTCTCGCCCACGAGCAATACCGACTCGCCCTTGCTCACACACGCCGCCACGCTCTCGATCAAGCGTGCATGTAGCCGTGTGAGTGCGTACGACCCACTGTCCGACGATTCCTTGCGCATGCCAGAACCACTCGCGCCCTTGGGCAGCGTGATGCGTCCTACGACAACAGTGTCATCCGACCAACTGACCTCCGGGCAGTAGGTAGTTCCTCTGTGTTCAACAGACTCTGTGCTGATGCCCAGTTTGTGACCAATCAGGTGCAGCAGGCGCCTGCGTACGACCATGGGGAACATACCCGCCAGCACATCAGCCGCCTCGTAGAACAGGTGGGGCGTCAGCAGGTTTTGTGACACGCTCGTAATGGTGGTATGGTATGCCGCGTATTGGCAGCATCGCGTGCACCACTTGAGCAGGTCTCGGTAGGTATAAGCTCTGCGGATGCGTGAGATTGCAGCCATTTCCGACGGTGCATAGCCCCCCGCGTCCTGCTCGCGCTGTTGCTGGCTGTCGAGGGAGTCGTTCATCGCAGTATCTCCATCGCTGTCATGGGTGTCGCTTTCACCGTCTATTTCAGTCGTTGCCTCCTTCACTTCTTCCGGGTCCTTGGTGCGCCGACCAATGTTCGCTAAGGTCTGGTACACCTCAAGCATCAGCGACGAGAAGGGCGCGAGGGCTGGATAGATCGTATCTATCACCCTCCGCATCTCTGTGAGCGTCAGCGCTTGCACCACCACTCGAGTCCACAGATTGGCTAGCATAGTACTGCCCCTGCCACCGCCTTTCCGAGCTGTACCTGATTCAGATAGCGTCTGTGTGGCGAACAGCTGGAAGCCCCGCGCCGCTCTGACCACTTCTCCACGCCCAGGGATAAAGACCTCCCGTTTCTCCAATACCGGAACGAGCACAGACAGCACGTCAATGGGTGCCAGGTCTATATCCTCCACTATAAGCCACTTGCCCGAACGCATGGCCTGAGTGAGCACTCCCGGCTGCCACCGGAACTCCCCAGGGATATCTGTGCATACGTACGTGCCCAGTAGGGTCTTACTGTCCGTCTGGTCACCGAGATGTACCTTTAGCACACCCTTTGTTGTGTCCTTACCGGTGCATCTGGCTAGTTCGTTGACGAGCGACGACTTACCGGCCCCCGCAACACCCTCCAGCAGTATAGGCAGACCCTGCGACAAGGCCAATGCCAGGGCCCGCAGGTTACCGGACGTTGTGTCCGTCATGACATACGCGGTTGCAGCCGAGTTCTCACTCGCCCTGGCGCCATCCAGCGGCGCTCCACTTGTGATGGGCTGCAATACTTCTCGGGTGCGGGGTAGCAGGACGCCACACACATCGACGAGCGTCCCGGACAGATCAGACGCGCCTAATACATCGGACTCATCCGACGACTTCGCGGCAGTTGTGGGGGTGCTATCAGTTGTAGGAAGTTCTGCACTGTCTGTGCTGGCGGCGGTAGAGGTGTCTTTGAGAGATAAGAGATAGGATTCGATGGCTCTGGTGTCGTTCTGTGTTTGATCTAAGGTGAGCTGTAGATCGGCAGAGGGATCCAGATACACTTCAAATAACCGTGTAGTCTGTTGATTGTCGAGTTTGAGTAGTAGTGCGATGCTCTTGGCCACATACACCCGCGTTGTCGGATTTTCGTTGGTCAGCTGTGTGGTATAGGAGTGGCGTAAAGTGGATCTGAGTATTCGAATAGACAGGGACTCCGTGCAACGCGCAGGTATCACGATTAGTACTAAAAATGTATACACACGGATATACTTTCATTCGACGAAATGATTTATTGAATGTCATATTGACACACTTCGATGACAGTGCTGAACCATTGGCTATTCTCTGAAACACTAACGCTCCAGTTTTGGTACAGTAGCAAGAATAACGCTATCAGAGAGCTACGACTATAGAGCGAAATAACATCACATAACGTGAATACATGAATTCACTTGCACATGAAAGCTCACACCCAAACCATAGAACTCGCAATTGAGCGCGACCAGATACGAATGGATTGTTTACAACGCAGCATATACACACCAGTATGTATAGCGGGCCCCAATTCCACCTTGTTCTGAGTGCCGGACAAAACCTGAGTAGGCGATAACATGTGGCGGCCATGTCCTCGTAAGACTCCGATTGCGTAGTCTGTGATGGGCTATGGCTGCTGCGGGTGGGATAAACATATGGTGGCAATAGATGTTAGCTCATGAAGGATCCCGCATTAGTCCTATGTGTGTTTACAGAATGTACCACTCGCGCCACAACTCGCCAGACAAACCTTTACACAACACATACCGACTGATCCTCTCGAACGGCGGAGGGTTGTATTCGTAGTAGCTCAGCACCTGGCTCTGTAGCTGCGGTGCGGACATCAGCAGCACACTGAGACATGCACCGATGCTATCATGGCGGTCAAGAGAAAAGGGCGTGGGTATGCTGTGTGCCCCATGCTGCTCTTCGTTTGGTTCGATCAGTTTTATAATGAGATCCACCAGAACGGGACGGAACACCCGCGCAACTGTACTAGTCAGAGCGGGGTCCAGGAGTAGTTCCGATACTACAAGAAGCAGACTCTTCTTGGATTGATGTGTCCAATGCTGTGGTCAAAAGCACGAGAATATTAGCATAGAAGTTACCAGAGACAAACAATCGACTATGCTTGTACCTTATCTAACTCACTTACTTTAATCCTTATCTAAATCACTTATGAATATATATATATATATACACACACACATATATATATATATAGAAATTCATCTACATATATAAATACAAATACTCAATATTAAAATACAAATACAAATACAAAATCAAAATCAAATATATTTATATATATTTATATATGCGTGTGTGTGCAGCTATTCTGGTCTCTATTTAAATATGAACATGCCCATGTTGCTATGCCTATGTCTTAGCCTCTGTATGTTATATATATATATATATATAGACATACATATATATATATATATATATATAT